GTCACATACGCGCATAAGCATATAATATAATATTCTCAGGTCACTGGCATAAATCACATGAAGTGTTGTTCTTATTATTACATACTATTCAAGAAGATGAATTATGATCAACCTTTTATATTTAAATTAGATTGTTACCAACCAAAATGAAGAAATAAAATAATTCCACCCATTTAGCACATGTTTCTGACAGTAGCATCCATAGTCGAATCTTAACATATAAACCAACAATATTATAATTTTTACTCTCTATATAAGATAGCATAAAACATGGACAGAAATCTCTAAAATGCTCACTTTTTCCCAAATCCATAAAAATTTCACTCAAAAAAGTAACTGTACAATTACAATGCACGATAATATCAGTAAATAGTTCTCCGGTCCTCACCCAAACGGATCAAAAAATACATTTCGTACGGGCTATATCACAAATCCAATTTAAGTTTCAAATTACACGGATCAATAAACCTAAAATTTAATTCCTATTTGTAATTCAATATTTGCCCAAAAAAAAATCATTAAATCGCACACAAAAAATAAAAATCAAAGAAAATCGTGGATAAAAGTCAATGCACTCTATCATTTTTTGATCTTTTCCTTAAGATGCTGTAAAAATTAGGAATGCTAGGAATGTAATCAGTAAGGAGAATCTGGATACATCTGGAATGGCCATTCAGAGCAGCTAAGTGCAGTGCAGTTCCTCTATGAAGATAATCAGCTCTGTGGATCTAAAATTCAAAAATATAATAAGTTGTGACCTTAGCCCAGAAAATAGATTGCCCCACACATGTCCTTCAATACTACTGGGTAGAACAAATAAATAGAGTTTGGAGATTTATCACAGAAGTTTTCTGAAAGTGGTCGAGAGAGGGCGAGAGGAATGTGGAGATAAGATAGTGATCGAGAGAAAATAGGGCTTCAATAGATATGAAAGTTGAGATATCAACCATTTTGAAACCCACAATTAACGGGATACGTGCGTCATTTAATTAAAAAATTAATTGTTAAATTAAAAAGATAAAAACCTGAGAAATGAAAAAAAAAAGATGAAAACCTGAATTTTTAAAATGTGAAAGAAAACGTCTGGTTTGGTGTAATTTCCACTAAAAGAAAGGCTTCGATGGCTCAAACTATATCTAATATGGCTGATCACTTAGGAGTCCTTTCAGGTGAAAATGCTATGCTGAAGGGCTCATATGAAAAATCTGTTGGGCTTCCCTCCTAGTGAGAGCCCATCATTTAATTGGTTAGTGGGCTTTGCCACTTGGGTCCATAATCAACTTATATTACCAAGTTGGAGACCAAACATTTACACACAATACACATACATCAGGCAGACGGAGAACGATAGAGTGAGAGAAAGGCATGCTTTCGGTGCGTCAATGATTGAGCCTCATTTGTGGTCCGATTAAAGTCATATTTCAGTATGTTGTTCCTGGCAAAGATGGCTACATTTTGACCAAAGCTGATAATCCAGATTCCTCTTCGTTTGTCTGAGCTTTGCACACTTATCAGTGAGATTTTCTTTGTTATAGTGTGCATTTATCTTTATGATGTTAGTGTTGATATCCAAGAACTA